AAGAGCAGGATGCTTGATGGCCGTGGGGCAATATTGATGTGTCTTGCACCCCAGGGATTGGTCAGTGGAATGCCTTGTTAGTAAGATTAGAGCCATGGGTGGGAGTTTGGTGTACATGCACCCTCCCTAAAGCCCAATGTCCAGTGTTCAGTTTGACCCACTGCTGTCAATAAAAGGCTGGGATCTTGCTCTTGAGTGGCATCCTGCCTCCTACAGCCTGCTCCGCGACTCCTGTTTCTTTTATCTCGGTGGTGTTCCTGATGCAACAGAACTGTCTTTTATATTCACATCTTATCAAATGAATTGAAATGTATTAAAAAATCTGAAGGAAATGGTGTATTTTTTTTCTGTGGGGGATGTGTTTCACACCCTTTAGTTTTGCTACATTCTTTTAAAATTTTTTAATTACCAAGCTTTATAGAACCAGTCTTTCAAATGAGAATGTTACTATCACTTCTAATATTCATGGTTTTGAACACAGGGATGGTCAGGCAAGAACCCCAAGGATGTTTTCAAGAGGAACATTCTTCTTGCTGAAGGTCAGCAGATGACTGGCTCCAGCCATGTGTGATTTACAGGAGAACCCAGTGCAGGGGCAGCTGGGCATAGTGGCACTACTTTACCACTGCCCAGTGAAGTAGTTTTGATTAGTAAGAATCCTCTTTCTCCATGGAGTGTAGACAGGTTGGAGTAAATATGGAGTTGGTGGGAGCAGCTACCATAGTGAGTGGTCCATGAGGAGAGATTGGAGCTTAAAGTAGGGTGTTGTTTATGGAAAGGTAGAGAAGGGGACAGATTAGAGGGAAAAGTTCACAGCTGAAATGTTGAGGCTTCTGATGAGAAGACATATTAGGAGGGATTTAGTTATCACTCAGTTTTTCTGCCTTTCAACACAGATGTCCAGCTTCTTGTTGGAGTATATAGCCTGTGGGTGGTGGGGCAGTGTTACTTAGTAGGCAGCTTTTTCTGTTCTCTCAGTTGGTTTAAGGAAAGTTCATTGGCACAGTGGGAGGTCAGGTATATATCAGGGGTGAGTGTGCTGAGATTACTGTTTCCACTTATGGAAATATGACTTGAAGTAAGATTTTCTTGGTAGTATTGAGAGTTTTGGAGATAAAGTTGAGGCCCGCACTTGATAACCATTTGTCAGTGTATCCATTGGAAGATAATTAGATGAGGTTGTTATTTGAGTTCTGACTGTTTGGCTGAAATAAGGCAAATAAGACGGAAGGAAAATGTTGAAAATGCTGCGGCTGATCCAAGGGTGTAATAGGTGTGATGGGTGACAGTCATAAATATTACCAGAAACAACTACAGAGGAATTAAATGTCCTCAAATGAATACTAGCAAATAGAATCTAACAGTAGAAAACAGTCATGTACTGAAAACTAGTGGGATTTATTCCAGGGCTGCAAGGATGGTTCAACATGCACCAACCAGTCAATTTGACAGTCCACATTGAAAAAGGAAGGATACTGAGCACATAAACACCTCAAAAGACGGGGAAAAAGCATTTGAGAAAATTCAACATCTCTTGGTGATAAGGAACTCTCAACATCTGGGCATTTAGAACAAATACCTTTCGGACGTTCCAAGTTTTAGGCACACCAGTTTATTAAAGAGACAACAAGGATGTTTTAAGTATGTCAGTAGCTTTCTTTGTAATTATTTTGCTGTTTTCCCTAGTTTCTTGTGTCCAACCACCTGGATTCTACTTTTTATTACGTAATTACCTTTTGATGTCTTTCCTGCTTTCACTTCACTCTAGATCCACTCATAAGAGGATATAATACTTTAAGTTTTTTGGAGCAGGAAGTTCAAATTGGGAAAGCAGGATGAATTTTCAGATTCACCTCTCTCCATGAAATTAAAGGTAGAAGAAAAAAGAATGTTATGCCTGAGTAAATCAAGGTCAAATTGAATACTACTATAAAGTGAACACTCTTGTGTGTAGTCAAAGGTGTGTAGGTATGAAATAGAAATTTGATTAAGTTCATTAAAGTTCACATGTCCTCTAGGTGTTAATCTTTTTTTTTTTTTTAAAGATTGATTTATTCATGCATACAAGAACCAGAGTACAGGTCAGATTTGTGGGAGGGTGAGAGGATTCACCAGAGACAGAATGGGGAACAGAACAGGCAGACTGATGGAAGTACACTGCTGAGGAGAGACAGGAAGGGTTTGCCGCACCATGTGGGTATCTCACTGGCCGGCCGGGATTGAACCCGCACTGCAGAGGCTGTGGACAGCTTCACAGTGCTGCGCTCAACTGCCTGTGCTACCAGGGAGGCCTCTAGGTGTTAATCATGTGTATCACACTCACTTAGAAAATAGTTAAACAGTATATTTAATTCTCTGGAATTTGAAATTCATGTGAGCCTGGGTAGGAATACATTTTAAACCTAATCCATTGCATGAACAAGAAAGCTTTAAAAGTCATGAGTTCATATTAATTGTAATCATTTATATTCTTTACTTAAAATAGGCTGCAGCAACACTAATATTGGTGGTAGAAGCTTTTTCTTTTTTTTTTTCTCGAAGTATCTGTAGAGCAAGCAAGAAATTGAAGAAACAGAAGAAAACGAGAAGGTTGGGGAATGGTTTTAGGGACCTAGTTCATTTGGGAGTAGGGTAATATTGGGCAGACAGCTCTGGTCCCCGGAGCCCTGTTATAAGTGCTTATCTCAGGAGCTCTCATGACAGGGAATAAATGACCCAAGTTCTAGCATGCAACAAGTCGAAATTCATTGCTTATCTCTCGTCTGTTCTTGAAGACTTGATCTAAGACTGGTGAGTGAATTAGAATCCTGTTGGTGTTTGTGTTTCCAAGATCGAGATAAAATCTGGGCTAGTGTTATTTTCCACACTGTCCGCACTTGGACACCACTGCTGCGTGTGGACAAAGAACGGTAGCAGGAGGAGGCATACGTTTGTTTGGTTCCAGCACATGTGTTGGTGAGGTCTGGGAAGGGAGGCGACAGCATATGGGTTAGTTAGAGTTCACCAAAAGTTAGTAAATAAGAGATACCATAAAAAAAATTAATAGGTGAGCTAATAGACTAGATATGAGAAACAGGAGAGATATTGATGTAGACAATTTTGAGAAATATGAGAAGAATCCTGAGCATGACAGAACTGAGCTTCAGCTTCCCCAAACAAGGAGTGGGAAGGGTCTTTGAGGAGACGCGAGGCCATCTCAGGCAGATGTGAGAGATCAGAGTTGAGGAGGCATTTGAGGGGGGATTTGAAGGATGAACCCCTCTTAGAGTAAAGTCACTGTCATGATACCAGTCTCAGCAAGTTCCCAGCCCCTGATCTCCTTGGTCTCTCTCCTTAGCTGAAACAATAAAAATTTCCTGACTTCTCCATTTGACCAGTCACATGGCATCATCAGTTTCTGTAATCTCCCATCATCTCAAGCCCTGCCCTTGTTGAATTGTGTCTTTCGTGACCTCTTCCTTCTCCCAGAGCTTTATAAAGATGCTTCCCTATCTCAAGGCTTGTGATAAGATCCCCTCACCAGTAACTCTAACGGCAGAATGATTTCTCCCATCACTTGGAGTGTAGTGATAGGAGCTGATTTTCCTTCTTAGAAATGGAAAAATAGAGGCATAGAAAGGGATAATCTGTTGGGAAAAAATAATGTTAATATCAATAAGCATAAGATTTGATCCTGTTCTAGTTATTCTGAGATATCTTCCTCAGAAATAATGAACATTTATCTCCAATTCTTCAAAATGACCTGCTTATAAATTTGCTCCACCCTCAATGTGTGAGTCCCAGGACCCAGAAGCTTCCCATTTCTCCCCTATGTTTCCAGTTTGTTATATGATGTTTGAAAGTAGTTGCTGCTAAAATACTTGCTGAATGACTGACTGAATGAATGAATACACTAGCAAATACATCATCAAATTTCCACTTCAAGAAAAATCTTCTAAATATCATGTTCCATGCCCAATAATGTCTTTCTTTTCCTCATTTCAGTCATTTTAAAATTGAATTTCCTAAGGTGTGAGCACAAGAAAGACCTCAGGGATATAGGCCTTATCAATGTTACCACTTAATGGTCTTGACTGTCTTAACAAATGAATAAACTGTATGTGAAGAATTCAGAAACTTCGAATCTCTTTTCCATCAATTATTGGTTTGTGCCATTAAACAAATGACTCATATTCACCGAGTCTCAATTTTTGGATATGAAGTAGGGAAAATACTCAATTTCTGAAAGTGTATGTTCAATATCTAAATGTAAATATAGATAAAATATTATAAAGTGTTTACTACAGTTTTCTGTTATAAAGCAGATGTGTAATCCATATTTGGCTAATTTCTCTGTGACTGTATTATGTTCAGATCCATGCTGTTCCTGAAACACCACTGGCCATTTGGAATCCAGTCTCTTTGTCAATTACTATTCCAATAAGTTGCCACAACTAATCGTTCTAAGTAGATTAATTAAGTAGATTTTTCTAAACTACTGGTTTGACCACTCTGATCACCACCCCCTGTAAAGAGGATGGAGTCCGTGTGAAGTTGTGATCAGGACCCTTCACAACCAGGAAAAACCTGCTTGTGTAACTTTTCCTCTCCCCTCTCCCCTAAGCATCAAACACCCTGGACTGAAAATGTTGCAAGAACACTACCATTTCTCATGATGATTCCTATTTTCAGTCTTCATCTTCTGATAATTCTAAAGTTTCAGTATCATCTCTCACTGTTTTTCAAGACACACACAATGGTTTTATTCACAACCATTTGTTTCTAGAAGTACAAGCAACAGTATCTTTGAATAGATGGAAATGTGTAACTTTAGGGGACAAAGAACATACCCTATTTTTATCCTTTTCATCTTTGTATGTGTCTTATTTACATGTTCAAAGAAGATGGAGAGTCTGGAATATGCCAAAAACATCTGGTGTCTTCACAAGGAATATTACCGAAAAATCTGTTTTCCTCTGTCTCTGTGAATAGGAAGTGAGGTCTCTGGTGGTCTTGCAGATATGATTACCTTAAATCACACCGGCGTTAGTCACACAGTCTTCCGGTTGCTGGGCATCCCTGGCCTTGAGGACCAACACATGTGGATTTCCATACCCTTCTTCATTTCCTATATTATCAACCTGCTTGGAAATAACCTGCTCATTTTCATTATCCTCACGAAGCGCAGCCTCCATGAGCCCATGTACTTCTTCCTCTGCATGCTGGCTGGAGCAGACATTGTCCTCTCCACGTGCATTGTACCTCAGGCTTTGGGCATCTTCTGGTTCCACGCTGGGAAGATCTCCCTGGATCGCTGTGTCAGTCAGGTATTTTTCTACTCTTCCATTTTCATCTCTGAATCAGGGATCTTGCTGGTGATGGCGTTTGACCGCTACATTGCCATTTGCTACCCACTGAGATACACCACTATTCTAACACACTCACTGATTGGGAAAATTGTCTGCATTGTTCTGAGAAGTTTTTGTACAATATTCCCCATAATATTTCTTCTGAAAAGACTGAATTTCTGCAGAAGTAACATTCTTCCACACACCTTCTGTGAACACATTGGCTTGGCCAAATATGCTTGTGATGATATTCGAGTGAACATCTGGTATGGACTTTTTGTCATAATATCAACAGTGATCATAGATGTCCTGTTAATTTTTGTTTCCTATATGATGATTCTTCATGCTGTCTTCCACATGAGCTCCAAAAATGCTCGCCACAAAGCTCTCAACACATGTGGCTCCCATGTCTGCATCATTGTCCTCTTTTATGTACCTGCGATCTTCACAAGTCTTTTTCAGCGATTTGGACGCCACATTCCACCTCATGTCCACATCTTGTTGGCGAATGTCTTCGTTTTGGTCCCACCTATGGTTAATCCCATCATTTATGGGATCAAGACTAAGCAAATCAGAGAGCAGGTGGCTCATATATTTTTCCCAAAGCAGAAATAATGTTTGAACAGAAACAGAGTTTTAGTATCTCTAGCTGTCAATACATGTGTAATGAATTTGGGGTGTGGGAGGGTCAACTGAAACAGTAGGGACTGGCAAGTGACTTTTATCTCAGGAGTTTATAAGGTAGTTTGTAGGAGTTATGTCTTCCATTGACAAAACATCCCCTAAAAGCTTTGTCATGTTTGGTATTAATATAAATTTTGAATAGTGCGAATTTGACCTTGAAGGATGAGTTTGGAATTGTTCCCTCTCCTTCAATTTTTGGGAAGAGTTTTAAAAACAATGTCAATAGTTCTTATGTAAATGTATCGTAGAATTAGCCAGTGAAGTGGTCTGATATGGGGTTTTCTATATTGGGAGGTTTTTGAGTACTGATTCAGTGCCTTACCCATTAGCAGTCTATACTTATTTTTAATGCTCTTTCCTTTAACCTTTATACTCATGGCAGCTTTATTTTTTTTCTCCTGGGTTGTATTGCCTGGTTTAATTTTAAGTTTTTCCTAAATCTTTCTGCCATGTCATCACTCTTGATGCATATGCTAGTCATCTGTCCACCATTCAGGGGTCATTGTCTTTGTTTGGGTGTAATTAGTTTGTAAATATGTGAAGGAGGCAAGTCTAGTGACTTCTCTCTGATGCCATCTTGTGGAACTTCCATCTTCCCACTTCTCAAGTGTGGGCTGCACAGATGACTTCTCCTCTAAGGAGTAGAGTATGGAAGGGGGAATAGAGTAACTTTATAGTGGGGAAGTCTGATAGACACATCCGTGCAAATAAAGTCAGCACCAACAGTGATAATTCAGGTTATAGAATAAACCCTTATGTGAATTGATAAAAACTGCAATTTACTTCTGTACCTTCATTTGAAGCAGGCATGTGACTAGTTAGTTGTTGTTCAATGAAATTTCAGTAGGGAGACAGGCAGTTACAAGGTTCTGAGGTCTTAGCTGAAAATTGTAGAACTTCTGTGGAGTGAAGTGGGTAGATGGGAGCAGGATGTATAAAGTTAGTTGCATATATATATTCCCAACCCTTCATATGGGGACATCATGTTGGTAGTTTGAATCTGGCTAATACAGGAGTATTTTCACCTAAGGAATGGGCAAACACTATAAAACAAGAGTTCTTTAACAAATATGTTGTTTAATTATCACCACTGGACCAGAGTCACAGATATGGACTATCTCAGTAGAATGGAAAATGCAGTTTGGGAGGGGTGAATGGGGGAGACTTTGAGCTTGAGGACAACACTCTAGCTCAGTAAGGAGCCCTGAGAAACTCCAAAGAAAGTTCCGCCTTGGTGCCAGGTCCTGATTACTGTGAACATTTTAGGCATTGGAGGGACTCAGATGACTCTTACGACCCTGTAAGCCTCCTGTCCAATATTTATCATTGAAGAATGTGTCTGCATCACTGTGCTGCGTTGTGGGAGCATACATGTTTTAAAAAGACAATTCTCAGACCTCAGAAAGTTCACAATTGGAAAACACTGACAATATGTAATGTAATTGTTTGATTTTTTTATTTATGCATACAACTGTTTATTTATGCATACAAGAAAGGGGTACAGGCCAGATATGTGAGGGGGGTGGTGAGAGGAGTCACCAGAGACAGAGTGGGGAACAGAACAGGCAGATTGACTGCTGAGGGGAGCAGTGGGCAAGGCAGGAGAGGTCTGCTGTGCCATATGTGTAGCTTCCTGGCCGACCAGAAATTGAACTTGTGCTGCAGAGGCTATGGATAGCTTCACAGTGCTGTGCTTAGCCCCTTGCACCACCAGGGAGGCCCCTGTTGTTTGATTTTGACACACTTCTGAGAAGCACAAAACTAACAAAAATACTCATAATTTGATGACATAATATTGAAGGACTCATGGATAACTAAAGTTAGTGAAAAAGCAAAATGAAGAAATATTTTAATAAACATTACTTTCTTGGACAACTGCAAAATTTTAAATATACTACATGTTACTAATAACAAAGTATTAGGTAAATTATGGTCCTTCTATAAACTGGTATTTTATAGGCAGCTAAAATTATTAAAAATGCTATCCATGTTATAAAAATGTTTTAAGTCTAATTGAAAAAATAGTTTCTGTTGTGTGAGAATATATAAAAAGATGAAGAAAAATAAGGTAAATCACACTAACAGATGTAATCAGTGTAACTTCTGTATACATTTCTTTATCTTCAGCTTTTAAAAAGTGTAATTTCATAGTTTTATAACTTACAAAATATTTTAAACATCTTTATTTAGCACCTGTTCTTTCAGATGATATAATGGCCCTAGGACATCTGCTCTCAGTTGGGAAACGAACAGGAAATAATTACAATGACATGCGACAAGTTCTTTCTAAAAACCATGTGCCTTGCTAAACTTCATATGGCACATCCTTTTATGAAAGAATGGAGAGACTATAAAAATGCTTACAGAGGTGTGTATTTTTGACCTGGAAATATATCCACACTACTTTATGAAGCGAGAAAAGTGCATTCTAAAAGAGTAAGTGGAATATAGTCCAATTAAGACATTTTTATTTACTTACACACACAATAGAAAATAAAAAACAATGTTCTGAAAACAGTAGTGGTGAATATCACTTTTTTGAAAAAATGGGTGATTTTTAAACAGATTTTATTTATAATAAACAATAGTAACATACTGTCTATAAGGTGGATGAGTGAGGGGTTTCAAGAATACGAGGATGCTCAACTGTATCAGATATGGCGGCCGTGTCCTGAGAGATGCAGACTGAGGACTGGCCAGTGCACTCAGCAGTGTGGACATCACTGTACCTGCAGGGCATGGCATAGGCAAAACCTCCGACAGGAGAGAGAAAGGAAAATAAGGGGCAGAAATTGAATGTATTAATAACTCTGTCAAGGTGTTTTACTGTGAGGGAAAAAGGGAGGAGAATAGGAGGGGGATGAAAGAGGAGGATAATGAGCATGATCTGTTCCATTTCCATCCATGTTGCTGCAAATCTTTTTTGATTGCTGAGCAATATTCCATTGTGCATATGTACCACATCTTCTTGATCCAGTCATCTATTTTTGGGCATTTGGGTTGTTTCCAAAGCTTAGCTATTGTAAATAGTGCTGCTATAAACATAGGGGTGCAGGTGCCCTTTTGAATTAATATTTCTGTGCCCTTTGGGTAAATACCTAGGAGTGGAATTGCTGGATCATATGGAAGCTCCATCTTCAGCAGGTTGAGGAATTTCCACACAGCTCTCCATAGTGGCTGGACCAGTCTGCACTCCCACCACCAGTGCAGGAGAGTTCCTTTTACTCCACATCCTCGCCAACATTTGTTGCTAGTTTTTCAATATGTGCCATTCTCACTGGTGTAAGATGGTATGTCATGGTAGTTTTGATTTGCATTTCACTGATTACAAGTGATGTTGAACATTTTTTCATATGCCTGTTGGCCATTTGCATTTCCTCTTTGGAGAAGTTTCTTTTTAGCTCTTCTGCCCATTTTTTGACTGGATTATTTTATTTTATTTTTGTTGAGTCTTATCAGCTCTTTGTAGATATTTGTGATCAGCTCATGCTCAGCAAAACAAGCCAGAAAGAAAAAGAACAATACCAGATGGTCTCACTCATGGCAGGAATTTAGAAAACCTAAATAAGGGACCAGGAAAAAGACTAATTATAATAAAGTAAAAATCAAAATAAATAAGCAACTATAAACCAGAGACACACTATGGAGGGGGAGGGAGGGGGTAGGATCAAAATAAAGTGGGTGGGAATTGTGTGCGGACAATGCCATGATGAAAATGCATACATTGTGCAAAAATGAAAAATAATGTAAAAAATATATAAAATAAAAATGCTCAAACAAAAAAAAAAAAAAGAGGAGGATAATGAGAGGAAGGAGAGGAAGTAACAGCTGTAGAAGGGGAAGGAGAAGGAACAGAGGCAGAGGAGTGTGGTGAATTTCCAGAAGGCAAAGAAATATGGGTGTCTGCTTCTTTCCCCCCCTCTTCCCTCCTTTCTTTCTCTAGGAGAACAATTAACAGAATATATACAGAAATGAACATTTGTGATAGAGATGATAGAGGGAAGACTATGTAGAGCAATGTCTCAAGGCATACAAGAGGAATGCAAATTACTTCACCAGACAAGACGTGACCGAAACCAGGAAAAAAAATTAGTCCAGCAATTATCCACACGTCACCTCTTTCCAAATACCTATCTAAGGTTATAGAGAGGAGTGGTTTATTTTTCAGACTCTGAGTGATAAAGTTATTGGATCACAAAGAAATGGATCTCTTATTATTGATCAGAGATGTTGAAAAGTTTGTTGCCAAGTTTCTCTGTGACTTCTCCCAGAAACATAGGCATTGAGTTGTGGCCATCCCTATTTACTAAGGGAGCCAAAGTTCAACTTATGTTGGCTAGAAATGTTGAGAAAATAGTAATTTTGCTTCCATTCCCAAAGTCAGATCTTCTTTGGAAACAAGATATGGGTTACCTGGTCCCGGATCTGTTTGGTCTTGATCCCATAAATGATGGGATTCAGCATAGGTGGAGCCAGAATGCAGACATTTGCTATCAGTACGTAGATATGGGGTGAGACGTGGCGTCCAAAACGCTGAGTGAGGACCGAGAAAATTCCAGGGCCATAAAAGAGGATGATGACACAGACATGGGAGCCACAGGTGTTGAGAGCTTTGTGGCGAGCATCCTGGGATGGGATGCGGAACACAGCATGGAGAATCAGCACATAGGAAACAAAAATTAGCACAACATCTAGAGCCACCGTTAATATGAGGATGGTAAACCCATACCAGATGTTTATTCGTATGTCATCACAGGAAAACTTGGCCAAGAAAATGTGCTCACAAGCGGTGTGTGGAAGAATGCTACTTTTGCAAAAATTCAGTCTTTTCAGAAGAAATATTATGGGAAAAATTGTACCATAACTTCTCAGAAAGATGAAGACACCAATTTTCCCAATCAGTGAGTGTGTGAGAATAGTGGTGTATCTCAGGGGGTAGCAGATGGCAATGTAGCGGTCAAATGCCATCACCAGCAAGATCCCTGACTCTGAGATGAAGGTGGAGTGGATGAAGAAGAGCTGAGTGATGCAGCGATCCAGGGAGATGGCCCCAGCTTGGAACCAGAAGATGGCCAAGGCCTGAGGCACTGTGCTCGTGGAGAGGATGATGTCTGCTCCAGCCAGCATGCAGAGGAAGAGGTACATGGGCTCATGGAGGCTGTGCTTCGTGAGGATGATGCAGATGAGCAGGCTGTTTCCGAGCAGAGCAATGATGTAGGACGCGAAGAAGGGTATAGAAATCCACTTGTGCTGGTCCTCCAGGCCAGGGATGCCCAGCAAATAGAAGACCTTGTAGCTCACACCAGTGTGGTTTAAAGTAGTCATACCTGGAGCAGATGACTGGGGCCTCACTTTCTCTTTATAGAGACAATTGACATTTTAAATTGTATTCAAAGCTTAAGGCACTTACCTGATTCTTTTCCAAGGTAGGCATGCCAGGATGAAACATAAGTTTAAAAATTTATAAGATATCATGTGTTTTGTCAATGAGATAACAATCTTACAAAGAAGATAGACATTTACACAGCTAGTGAAAATAACGCTTTAAGTGAATATATTAGCAGTATAAGAAAACTACTATGGGAATCCAGTGGAAGAAGTAATTCAGTCTATTTGGCTGATGCACTCATTCAGTGGAGGTGAACTGGGTGGAGAATGGGATGAAGTAATTTAGGAGTTGAAGGGTAGACAGCTGTTGTGCAAATATTTAATGCATTTTAATCAGTTTGCAACCCTATGTGGTTGTGGGAGTGGATGTATTGTACAATGGTTAAAAAATAGAAAGAAAAGTATTATGGCTGATACAAATTAAAGGGCCCAGGAGGGGAGAGTCAATCACCATGAATTTTTCTGGAGAGCAATAGATGGTATTTATCTGGAAGTGGCTGGATAATGGATTGGAAGGAAAAAATAATTTGGAAGGAAAGTTTAATGTTTTCCTAATTAGAAGAAAGCAACTTATTGACCATAGACCAAAGTGAAATATGATTAACAAAATAACATTTAAAAGTACCTATTTTATCTCAGGCATTGATGTAAAAACATAACATTAATTATTTGTAACACTATAGAACTTGGCACAACTGTTAAGGAATAGATCTTGGATTTGAAACTGCTCTAATTGTAGAAAACATCATCTTCTGATATGTCAGATGGATCAAAGGGCAAGAGATTGTATGGGGGAGAGAGAGAGAGAGAGAGAGAGAGAGAGAGAGAGAGAGAGAGAGATCCTGAGAAGTTACCCCCAAGCTGTCCCCTTTTATCTCTGTAAATATATCATATTTCATATAAGAGTTTTGAAATAACTTGTAACTGAAATTCCAGGAGCGTGGATATTTTGTTCCCTTTACTTTGCCCCTTTAGTCACGAGTAGTACAATTTTGGTAAAGTCACAAAACAATTATATTTGCGGGGAAGCCAAAATCTGAAACATTGAGAAAAGGTTCTGCTTTCCAAAGTACTACAGAGAGGAGTTCAGTTGCTCACAAAGAAAAAAGGCCAAGTGAATCCAACCCAAATAACTGGTGGAGAAAAATGTCAAATGGACTCAGATTTAGATCATCTAGAAGAATCTCAGATGATGAAGAAGCCAGAGGCTCATTATTTTCATGGAGATGCAAGTAGCAGCATATAAATAAAAGGGTTTTACTTTCAAGGCCAGTATCTAGGCCAGTGGTTTTCAAATGGAGGCAATTTTGCATCACCTCCCCCGCCCCTCAAATAAAGTAAGTAGAAATAAGAGCTGAGAGAAGAGGACCAGCTTCAGAAGTGGCTGGATGCTGAATGCTTCATTGATAATAACAAATAGGCACTTTCTTTTGGGAAGCAGTTAGGAGAGGCTAGGGAGTGCAGAGATGGGGAGTTGGTCAGCCTGAACTAGCATGGCTACTGTCTAATTCAGTCACCTGAAAAAACTTCAATGCCAACATTTGTTGTTGCTAGTTTTTTTAATATGTGCCATTCTCACTGGTGTAAGATGGTATCTCATGGTAGTTTTGATTTGCATTTCCCTGATTACAAGTGATGTTGAACATTTTTTCATATGCTAAGCCAGAAAGAAAAAGAAAAATACCGGATGGTCTCACTCATAGCAGGAATCTAGAAAACTTAAATAAGGGACCAGGAAAATGAATAACTATAAGAAAGTGAAAATCAAAATCAACAAAAACTATGAACCAGAGACACTCTATGGGGGGTGGGGGGCGGGAGGGGAGGGATTGGGGTCAAAATAAGGGGGTTGCAATTGTATGGGGAATATAAAAATAAAATTTATTTAAAAAAAAAAGTTCAATGCCTCCTGAAGCTTCCCTCATGAAGGAAGGTGGGGTTAGGTGTACTCAGCATCTCAGAGAAGTCACCTCCATCCCTGTGCTTTGTGGCACCAAGAAAACTTGTCCTGTTCAAGGCACACTCACCAGCTTCCACATGTTCACCATGTTAGCAATGTGCTGGAGAGACACATCTCCCCAAAGTCACCCTCCTTTCTTCTGCTTTTCACAGAAGTTTAATCATCTAGACTCCTATTTCCTTGATTGTGACCTCTTTCTGAAACTTATTTTCCATCTGTGCATGTCTAGAATCTAACACACAAAAATATTAAGTGGGAGTAAAGAAGAAGCAGGATATTTAGCAGTCAGGACCTGGGGCCTAAGAAGTACCTTCTTAGGCTGGGGTACAGGTCCTTAGCACACTTGGTTGAAAAATCCAGAGCCCTTCATTCTGCCCTCCAGATACCACTTTCCTGCCTACTAGGGTCACACGTATTTGTGACTCTGGTCTCCTCTATGCTTATTTAATACCAGACAAAGGTGCCAGTATCCTCAAATACCTACCTGAAGCCCCATAACCTTCTGGTCTGGATGGGGGTACCCTTCTTCCCTTCCTAAAATTTACCCCACATTAATAAGTAACTTAATCACTCGCTTCAAGGGCAGTCTTGATACACTAGAATATGTGATGAATCAAGGAAGACTGAGCCTTGGCTACCAGGGAGCAGAGATTTTTATGCACTTTTTCTGAAGACTCCAGAGGAAGTTTATGCCCTAGGGAAAACAGATTTAGAGTTGTATTTCTAATAACACCTATTCCATGCAAACATAAGGGTCAAGATGCTATGGCTTTCCATGCCTGCTAACACCACCATCTTGTCCACCACTCCATCTCTGGATAGATTGTGAATATGTATTATTTTCAAGAAATAAAATGTTACTACTACAATAATAAAATATGTAACTACATCAGATATTCCTGTTTTCATTTTAATGATAATTTGTAAATATTAATCCTATTTTAAATCAGCACAAATACATTGACTGTCAAATATTGACATACGGATTATTTAAAAAATGCATTCCTTTAAGGAGTTCTTTGTAATATGAGAGATCTCCCATATTCTAAAGACTGAAATAATGAGTGTAATAGCTAATGTGAAAAATGTCTTCATTAATGTTAATGTCTTCAATGTACTTACGTGAGTTAGAATATAACAAGGAAACAATCTCCATACTTCTCTTCTTTGGTTGCCAGGAAATCTACAGTAAGTCTTCAATTACTACATTACCCTCTATCTCTTTGCTGGTAAAATATCTCTACCCTTTAGATATTTTCTATGTGCTTTATCTTCATTAATTAGTCCAAGGAAATATGAAGTACATATTTGTAAAAATGAGACAACTTTGTGTATGTGTGATAAATTCATAGGTTTCTATTTAAAATGATGGATTGAGCTTACTCAGAAAGACTTCATACCTTCTTAAGAATATTATTTTTTCATTAAATAATTATTTTGAATAGAATGTGTAAACATACAAAATCTACATAAATTTCAATAAAATTTTTAAGTAGATTCAGCCAACCACGATCTATAATCATATAGATTCAAATGCTAACATTTGGTCATATTAATTCTTCTCTGACTGACTCTGTCCCTCATTGTTCTCCCTTTAATTTTTTGCTATGTCGTTTCAGTAAAATAAGCAGAGATCTGGAAATATTTAGCATGTGCTATCTAAGGACAAGGACAATCTCTTAAATCTAAGAGTGCAATTATGAAATCCATGATATTTAACATTGATAAAATGCTATAATCCAATATACAGTACATATTTACAATCTACCAACTGTCCCCAAATTCTTTTTCATAGCAGTTTTTTTTCCATTTGTGTTCAGTTGTCATATACTTATGTTTTTTAAATCTGGATCAATTCTTCAAGCTTTTATTGTCTTTATGATAATGACATTTTAGAAGAAGAATACAGCTCCATATTTTGTATAATGTTCCTCAGTATGGACATATTCATTGAGATAAGATTCAGATTGACCAGAATACTATGTAAATAATACTGTGTTCTCGTACTATGGTATCATCAGGTACTTAACCTAAGTTTTTATCACATTATTGGTGATACTATTTTGATCAATTAATTAAAGTGGGTCCCCAGATTTTCCTCACTAAAAAGGTGTATCTCTTACCCTGTAGTCAATGAAATAATTCATGAGAAGATTGAAACTGAATAATCCTGTTATCCAACAAAAATGCAACTAGGGTTTTGGAATCTCATTGATGATTCTTGCCTGAATCAATTTTTACTTTGATGGTGGTTTTTCAACTCAATTTTTCCCACTACATGTATTAGTTGGTATTCTATTATAAATAAGAGGCTACTCATTTTTTTTTTAGTATTTGCATGGACTCATGGATTCTTTTTTGTTCAATAGCTTGTATGATGTATCATTATTTGTTCTGATGCTGAAATTATCACAGATTTGACTAGTGAGAGCTTCATCAAATTAGCTTTTGTAATCATTGCCATTTCCCTATAGTTTCTTTGAATAATTCCTTATATTTTAGCACAAGGTGTTTCAGAATCAGCTTATAAATTTTCCCCTCAGTCTTGAAATAAACATCATTACCAGGATTTCTTAGCTTCTTTAATGATGAGTAATATACAGAAAACCAGTTTGAGCACTATACGTGCTCACTGCTCCATAGTCTTTCCTTTCATTTATCAGGATCAGGGAGAACAAAAGCTTTTTATTTTTTCTCACTGATCCGTTTATTTATGATATTATCTCTAATTCCAAAGCAACATTACAATGGGAGTAGAGTTCTTCGAATTAGTATTTTACATCTTTTTGACTAGAATCTATCATTTTACATCATATACAGACACTGATGATTGTTAGACATATAGCTGCTTCTCTGCTACAAATAAGTCCATACTATTGACTTATTCTATCTAAACAAAAATAAAAATATATGCACATGATATAAAAAAGAGATAATTTTACCAGCAAGAGGCGCTTTACTGAATAAGATAACTGAA